GATTCTCGAAGACACACGACAACAGTTGATCTTTTAGTCGAGTAGTTTAATATTTTGAGGTTTCTCTAATATTAAATGCAACTCCTGGTCGAGTGAACTGAAACGTCCACGAAACGTTGGGAACGAATCCACGGAGACGCGCCAGCAACTCGGAAGCCAAACCGAGCGTTTTCTCCATATCGCGCGTAGAATCTTGAAAATATCACACACGCACACACACATACGCGCGCGCGCGCGCAGAACCAGCTTAACCACCATTACGATTAATTACGAAATATCTGCGGTATCGTAAATATCACGAAGCGAAAAATAGAGTAACGTTGCAGGAAACGCAGCAGCTCCACGAACTGTTCTTGCAGGTTTCCATGTAAGAGCAGCAAATAAAAAATAAAACATACGCATGAGAGGGTGACTTTATTGCGTGTCCTTGATTCCTAGCACGACTCCTGAAAGTATGATTTTGTTTATGTTCACAGAATATTAACCATGAGAAGAAATTGATATTCGAATAAACAGCAGGTATCAAAGCGTGCATTTTGTGCATTCAAATGATCCAAGTTCCGTTGTGTTCTTCGCGCGTTCTTCAATTATATATTGTTTATCTTTCAGTATCAACCTTCCTCCTATGTGTGTATATATATATATATATATATATATATATATATATATATATATATAAAATACAATAATTTATTAGAAATAAGTACTGACAGCCTATTGTTAGGCGAAACATTTGCAGTGTGGAACGCCGGGCAGTTTTGTGCGAAAACCTCAGACGTACCAATCGCTGTTTCATCAGTCAATTACGCTCCCGTTGATGATTAGCCGCAAATCGAGAGAAAAGTTCACCTCATTATTCGGAAAATACAGCGCGAACATTAATTCACTCGCGGAGCACTGCCGGCTCTATTTTCAACGCGATCCATTTATCTCAATAAAAAGCCGCGGCCACATTTATCCTCCCTCTCTTTGTTTTTGCCCGGCTGAGCTCGTCCCGGCGAAAACTTAAGAAAGCGGTTAAACGCCAGAGAGATTGATCGCGCTACGAAAATTGATGCGGTGATCTCTCTTATCCCTCCCGCCGCGTTATTCCCTTGTGATACGAGAAAAACGATACAATCGCGCCGAAGATGAATTTTCCACTCCACCTCGCGCCTCTACCAGCGTCTACCGTAAATCTTGCAGCTTTTCATCGCCCTCGGCGACCGCCGCGATTGTTTCAGAGATAAATAGGGCGACATTAATTGCGGAGATCTCGCGGAAATTTCCACAAACTTTTAATGATAATAATTATCTCGCCACACCTGTTGCCTCGCTGTAATCAACAGTAATTTAGAGCGAAACGCACCACAAACATCAATAATCATCAACGTTGTTGTGCTGCAACGAAACTACGCGCAAGCCTCGCGAGAAAAGACCCGCCGCAGACAAAGAGAAAGGAAAAAAGGAAGAGAAAGAGAGAAAGAACGATAGCTGTGACAGTTGTCTCCGGAACTAGCATTGCATCGAAAGATTAATGGCAGCCTCAGAAACTCCACGCTAATTATACGCGAGCGCGGCTAAAACAAAAATTCCGTAGGAGCCCGCGCGCGAGGATATCCCGAGGGTTTCCCATGGCAGCCATTATCATTTAATTGAAGTCTTCAACCCTGCCGGCCTCGCCCCCAAGTGTCACCTGTTGCCCCGAAATTAGCGGCGATCTACGCCGGAGAACTACAATTCATCGGGAAAGATCGCCCCGAAAATCTACTCGCGCGATCGTCGAAGGTAAAAGTAAAGAAGGCTCGCCATTTGTGGCCTCTTTGCTCCATCTCATCCCCCTTGAGCTACCCCTGTTCACTCTTTTCCATTCGCTGGTCACCTGCCCCTCTCCCCTCGAAAATTTTCTCGCCTCATCGCCTCCGAAGTGTAGGCGCAACAAAGAAATTCAGATGAAGGTCACTTTGCCAATGAGAGGAGGCGAGAAGGATCACGCGGCGGGAGTTTTCGCCTTTTCCGCGCATTCTCTCGGCTTCTATCGGGAGCTGACTTCTATTCAAGCGATGTGTTCTTGGCGGGCCTCAACCGCGTCTCCCGATCGCGTTGATTGACTGACGCGCGATTAACCCTTTGATCGTTCGACGGCGGCCAACGTGAACGTGTCGGGCGCACTCGCGAACGCCGCCGCGCTTCGAACGATTGCACCTATCGACGAGATTGCTCGCCGAGAGCGAGGCGTCGATGTTTTTTAAGTTATCGTTGTATTATATCGGATGCGATAATGTGTGCTCTTGCTTGATCGTGTCTTTCGATCCTCCGTCGTTGGGAGCGTTTTCAGAGCGCTGCTCCATCAGAGAAGCGCGCGTCGATATTTCCCTCCGGCCCTTTCCATCAAAATATGTCCGCCAAGTGTGCGCCTTGTAAGGACTCCTTCGATTGCAACTTGAAGTTCATCTTGTGGATCCCGAGTCCGCGCAAAAGTTACCGTCGCGGATCTGTTTGCGAGATTCGTGCGGACAGTGACGAAGATGAAGGCAAGGTAAACACGCGTGTCAATTTTCATGTAATACAATCCCGAGATAATATCCGGCGATTGCAGGAGCACAAAGAAGAACGTAAGACACACGTGTGAACTCGATGGGAAACGAAAATGAGACAAGACGTCGCCCGGCCTGGCTCTCAAAGAAGCCGGCTCATATTTGGGCGCGACATAAACTCAATCGAGTTTCGGACGAATTCATATTCGCACAGGTTTTCATTCATATTCAACATCGCGAAGGTGGAAAGAAATTTCACACGGAGCGCGAAGGGCACGGTGGGTCCTGAGAGAAGCTGCGGAGAAGGTGGCGCCGGGAGGGTGCACTTTATGAAATTGCAACGGGTATAATCACATATTTTCTTCACGGGTCGAGTCGCAGCTTAATCCGAACGACGGTGCTACGCGCGAAGGCAAAATGTAACGGAGAACGCGGCAGCGGGGGTGGAAAGGAGAGCAAAAAGAAGACCGGGACAAAAAATAAGCGAGATAAATGGAAGGAGAGAAAGAGAGAGGAATGAGGGGGAAAGGGGGAGGAGTTAAAAATAAAAAGAAACGAGATGATGTCGGTAAGCCGAAGGTAAACGAACTCGATTTGCGAGACCCGGCTCGGGTAAACACAATTATTTTTATTGCATATATACAGAAATCTGTATTTCGTGCGGGAGTGGCGCGTCTGTTTTTGTCACGTGCGACAGTCGTTGTTTGTATACAAAAATTTTCCGCCCGCACATTAAACGCCGGTACGCTCCGCGTTTCTCCCGTCGAGGAACTGCCGTCGCGAGTCACCTCCGCCATCTCCGCGACTCCCTCTAATTGCGATCGTCAATTTTGCAAATGCCCAGATGCAATCTGGGAAAATTTAAGAGGAGGAAAAGAGCCGTGGTCATTCCGCGTCCGGCGGAAACGAACGAGGTGCGCTCGCGGGATAATCAGGCTGGCGAGATAATCTAAATTGGCGGGAGAGCCGGTGATGACTATGAATTAATAGACCGATCTGTAAAAGTGGAGAGAACCAGCGGCTGACCAAGAGACAGAGAAAGAGAGAGAGAGAGAGAGAGAGAGAGAGAGACTTGATAGAGAAACTGAGCGGGAGAATTCTAGTAGTTCGGAGGTGAGGAAGACGAGGCCGGAGTATCGGATGCGCGAAGACGAAGAGCGATGCGGGGTTGGAGAGGGTAAGAGGGGAAACTGCGAGGAAAAGAGAGACGGAGAATTAATCGTTCGTACTTCTTTGCGCGCAGGATACCCCGTCGGCTACCCGGAACAGGCTCGTTCGGTAACACGCTGGAACATCACGGGATGTAAAATTATACAACGAGAAATATGTTCCACGTAATAATCGAGAGAGGAACGTGATCTGGGAGGGATGACGACTGAGAGAGAGAGCGAGAGAGAGAAAGAGAAACGAACGCGAAGAGAGAGAGAGCGCGGGAGGGTAGAAGCGAAGGAGGGCAGAGGGAACGGGGCTCGTGTGGAACAGGGGTAGAGGCGAGATACGGGGTGAGATCAATACAGGGTCGCTAGGCAACGAGCCTCCGGCGATCTCGGTCCGGGTAGACAGGGTGCCGCCAAGCCGCTGTAGCCACCCACCCACCCTTCGCCGTTCTGTCCCTGTCTCTCTGTCTCTTTCTCTCTCCCTCTCTCCTACGTTTCTCTCCGGCCCCGAAAGCGCCACATCCCACATAATAAATACCGGCAACTGTGCAACGCGGCGGGATAACGCGAGAAGAAGTACTGCGAATATGGCGCCGAGGACGAAAAAGGAGATCAGAAAAGAGAGAAAGAGAGAGACAGAGGAAGAGCTTGGAAAACAACCTCCGCCTCTCTTTTTCTCTTAATTAAATTCACCGGGAATTTTCTCGTCGAATTTTCTTTCTCTCTCTCTCTCTCTCTCTCTCTCTCTCTCTCTCTCTCTCTCTCTCTCTCTCCCTTTCTCTCTCTATATATGTATATGTCTCTTCCTCTCTGCTCTCTTCATTCGGTCGCCACCACAGCGCTCTTTTCGTACGCACTTCTTCGGCATTGTTTGTCAATAGAGAAGGACACGAGAGGTTTGACGCCGCGTACGAGCCGATCGCGCGACGCTTCAATTTTCCTCGCGTGAAATCCCGTCGTCGATGAAGTTCCGACTTGACACTGAATATGCGTTGACTTGCGTTCCGCACCATAATAATTATTTAAACAGATTTTCGTCTTTTCATGCTATATATTATGATGATCAGAATACAAAGTATACTTCACACGCGCGCGCTGTGTTTCCGAGCACTTTGCGCTCGTCAAAGGTTCGAAAAAGCCACTCTTCTCTCGAGAATCTCTTCTCTCCGGCTTCACACGATCCTCGCGAATCCTATCGGACTCGTAAAGAAGCCGGAAGATCGTTGAAATCGATTTTTACGATTTAAATCCCTCTAGGAGGTAAGTTTCTCTAAGATCTTCGATTCTCCGAGGATCTCTCTCCGCCTATCGACCAGGATCAATCCCATCATTCCGACAATTGGCAGAGCATGGCGGTCCCCCGCTGGATCCAGTGCCCCGGCGAGTGCGCCGTCGGCAGCCAGATTGCGATGACGAAGTTGGTGGAATGACCGGTGGTGGACAGGACGCCTTTCCTCTCGCTGGTCTTGTAGACAGGACACGTGTACGTTTTCCTCTCCTGCACCTGATCCTTCATCATCGGCACCAGCCAAAGCTGCGGGCAAGATTTAGCTGGTTGTCAGCGCGTTAACTTATTCAGGATGAATTTATTGTATAGTCGGGAGAAATTACGATTCAAAGCGAACAGTACTCAATTTTGAAATAATAATTAATAACGCGCCTGTGTCGATCGTATAACGGGGGATCTCTCTGGCTTTTGTCGTAGAATTTCGTCGTGAATATTGATTCGCAGTAACGTGCGTTTTATTTTGCCGACAATGTCCGAATGGAAAAAGGGAAAAATCGAGAGAACGTATCTAAACGTGCACATATACGCGTCAGCAGCACCGAAAAAAATTAAATTACCGCGCTTGAAAATTCCATCTCTCTTTTCGACGTGTTTTATTAGCGTCCATTATATCGTATCTCGGGAACAGAGTTAGACCGAATTTGCCGAAATGTTTGTCCAACGGGAGAGCGCGATGCACGATCCTTAGACAATCTCACAAAGGACAACTCCGGAGGGGACTCCCGAAATCTCACGTATGTTTGCTCACATGGGGCACAGTGTCGTAGAGGATTTTGGGGAAGGACTCGTCGAGCATCATTGTGTTCATATCGAAGCGAGCGCCGTCGAGAAATAATCCGTAGACGTAGACGCCGTCGTCAGGCGGGCTCGCGTGAACGGTGTCCTTCAGGGGAAAGAAGTCGTAGATCAGCAGATCGATGGGAATGGAATATTTTCGCGCGTAATTCTGCCGGGCGCCGGTCAAGAACGCCTGGGTGAAGTAAAAGCCGGAGATCCAGAAGGACGTGGGAGAACCGTCCTCGTACCAAGTCTAAAAAAATACGAAAGCACTCGTTCTTAATTCAGTTGCTGTGTATATATCGAGCTGTGTTGATGTGGAAGATATTTGTCGTGTTTTTTGCCAAACAGAATAGGAGACGAAATTATCCAATCTCGAAAAATCAATGAATTTTTGCGAGTCAAGTGGACAACATCGACTCGGTATTTATATCTGAACATTTAACGAGGACTTGCTGTTTTTCCTTTTAATACCCAAACTCCCTACGAGAATCGAATGGAAAGAATGAAGATCTCTCGCACTCCAATCCAATATTTATCGAGAATGTTTTCTCTATCAAACGTACCTGCAGGAAATTCAGCCTCTTCAGGAAGTCCTGTATATAGCTGCCGAGCGACTTCAGGGAAGGGTAAGAGTTGCGCATCCACATTTTGGGTATCTTGCCGGTGATAATTGACGAGTAGACCTCCTCGAGATCAGGATTCATAATTACCAGACCTGTAGGAGGGACCCGTCAGATTTATATCCGCGTCTATAAAAGCGCCTCGTCGCGTCCCTTACCTCGGATCGCCTTCTGCAGGTTCACGAGGCTGTCCCTGATCGTTTGCAGAAGCTTATTGAACCTGCCCATCTCTTGCACCAGCACGGTGTTCATGCTTTGCTCGTAGCGCGTAGGGTATCTCTCCTGTGCGGCCACCAGGTCGTAATCCTGCGGTAACTTCGACAGGACGTCGGACGCGACGTCGTAGACGACCTCCTCCGGGGACTTCACGCCGGGGTCCACGTCGACTCGGCCGACATCCTGACGAAAGTCGGCAAGTCTTAGCGTTGCGGTCTTCGCGAACTTTTAACGAGATCCGTAGACCTCGCTGATGTAATTCCATCGGGGTCTCCCGACGGCTAAATCGATTTTGCCGACTTAAATTGGAGCGCGAGGAGTCGACTGATAATTTAATGGCGCTTTATTACGAATTTTGTAACAATACGAAGTCGCAGCGTCCAAGGATTTTCTTCTCGCGCTCTTCCACACTCTTTCCAGCTTGATTAGTTTAACTCGTCATTGGAAAAGTATGAAAGAAATTTGATGAATTCCTTTCTTCCTCTTTTAGTATTTTTATCATTTCTCAAACCTTATATAATTTCTCATGATTTTGTGAAGTACTGAGATTTAATAACAGCCAATAGAAAAAATTCTGGAGAGATTTAAAGAGAACTAAACGGAATGCTTGGAGTCTCTCTTTTTCAATGACAAGTTAATATGGTAGTTATCACAATATGATAAATAACACGCGTAATAATACGGGTATTTATACGTCATATTGCAGCAAATAGCAATGTGAAATCTCTCGGATCTTTGAATGAAACGTGAGAGACAACATTTTCCATTCGGATGAGATTTCTTTTTCGCGAATGATTCTAAAGTGCTGAGCGTTGTGTGACAGATGGAAATGTTACCTGCTTCCTCGATTTTCTCAGCTAGTCGCATGAAAATTAAAGGACATCATTATATCAGTCATTTGAAACGGCATACTTTCCTGAATAAACGTTACTTACTTGTATCTCCTCGACGTTCTGCGAGGAAATGGAAAGATAACAACAGCTCTTATTATTCCGTTCAGGAAATTGATCAATTACGCGCAGATCAAGGTCACTTGGAGCGCAAACAGAAACGGAACAATCGCGTCGAAGGAGACGAGTGAACTCGCGTGCAAAAATCAGGTTGCCGACGTGTGAAGTATCGATAATAAACAATGCATGTAAAATGTATGCTTTGTATGCTCGAAAATACTCGAAAGTAACTGCTGAAAAATATTCTATTTCGACTTGACAGTGCTCCTTTTTCTTTTGATATTTAATGAACTTTCCACGATTAACGACATGCGACTATAAGTGGGTCCTTTCTCTCTCTCTCTCTCTCTCTCTCTCTCTCTCTCTCTCTCTCTCTCTCTCTCTCT